TGCCACCATGCCCAGCTAATTTTTGTATTTTTAGTAGAGATGGAGTTTCACCATGTTGGCCAGGCTGGTCTTGAACTCCTGACCTCAGATGATTTGCCTGCCTCAGCCTCCCAAAGTGCTGGGATTACAAGCGTGAGGCACGGCACCCAGGCTCCAGCTCCTTCTTTAAATGAGGGCAATATTCTCAGTCAGAGGTTTGGGGTCTCATGCCCATTGCCTGCATGGGCTCTGTTCAGGGTGGCACTGCCTGACTGGTCTGGCCTCAGGATCCCAAACCTTTTTTCAGCAGAAGGCTCTGGTTCCTGACAAGGCCACTTTGTCCTGGCACCAAAGTGACATCAGTCCCTCCCTACGCTACAGGCAAATATAGGTTTCGCTAGTGATTACACCCCGCTGGTCTGACTCAGACATATCCAGTGGGTGTCATCCTGATCCCCCACACAAGACCCCCACTCCATGGCTATGGCTGATTGAACAGGGGCAAACACTTGATTCAAGCAAAGCCGGTCGGAGCTGATATCTGGTAGAAGTCTCACTGTTCCATTCCCCAGCAGGGAAGAAAGGGGAAATATATGAACAGGAATAGGGATCAGCATCCAGAGAGAACAAGGACAAGTCAGCTTCTTGAGGGAACCTCAGGTCCTGCAGGACACGGTAACACTATATTCCCACAGGAGTCATCTGGTGGCTTACATGAACTCCCTGTGTGTCTCTGTTACTTGCTAGCCACAACGTCCCTGCAAACAGAAACTTTAGATCCACTGCCTCCTTTACTCCTCCTCCCTGTAGCGCTGTGAAGCAAATGTCCTGCATCATCCCCACTTCACACACGCGAAAAGAGGTTAGAACATTTTAGGACGGTGGTGGGGCACGGATTGCTTAGTGTGGAACTCCGCTCCACGCCCTCTGTGGGTCCTTGCTAGCCCTGGCCCAGCAGCGGGATGTGGATAAGTCCCAGAAGAGTATTGGGACCCTGGGTTGGGGTCTACTTCAATAGGTGACCTTCGGGGCGGTTGCTAAGGGCCCCGCTACTCCTCCGGGTCCCGCAGTCGCTGACCACACAAGCCCTGTGTCGGGATCTGTCAAGACCCTCGTTCCTTCGCCAACCCCGGGGCGCCCCGATTCCGCAGCCACTCCCTTCTTGCGCCCCAGCCTTTCCACACAGCCGGGTCAGGACCCATCCTTCCGGGCTGAATTCTCTTCTCTCTCCATGCCTCCTCCCACGTGCTTCCCTCCACCCGGAAGCCCCTTCTCCGCCGTATTCCCAGCTGCCTCCCAGTCAGCCCCCAACACCCTCCCGGCACCTCCTCCAGCTTCTTGGCGTTCCCCGTGACAAACACGATCTTCTTCCCCACCAATGAGGCCGCCATGGTGAGCCCCGGTTACCCAGCTGAGCCACCGAAAACTCCTTGGCGTCCAGTGACAGAAAACTTCCGGCTGGTGGCGGAAGTAAACGGCTCAGTTTCCGGCCAGGTGTCCGGGGGAAAGCCGACCCGGACCCCAAGGCGCGTATCGGGCGACTGGGCTCGCGGTGGCGGCCTAGCCCTCCGCGTCCGAATTGCTGGGGGCCTCCCAAGCCTGGAGATTGAGTGCTCCAAGACCCGTCCCTCCTGCGTAAGGGACGCTCTCTTCAAGAACCGGAAGAGACCACTACCACCCCCACCCCGCCCCTGGTTTCGCTCTTCTCTGCAATGAGGTCTCCGAAAGGAGAAGACTGCAGCCCTGTGATCCTGGAGGTTTGCGCTGTCCTACGCCGTCTCAAAAAACTGCCTCCTTCTAGGCAAGGGCTTCCAAACCCTCATCCTGCTCTCACCTTCAGCCTTACCCGCCAGCTCTGATCCACCGGACCGTGAACTTAAACTCGGCATAGCCTAAAACAAGCCCAAACTTCTCACCCGCTTTCACACCTAGGCTTGAGAGCTCAGTATCTAGACTCCCTCACTTCCTCATCCCTTCAGCCTCTCAAATCCATCACCCCTTCTCCTTGGCCACCGTTTCAGCCAGACCTTTGCATTCCAAACACAACTGAAAGTAGGAAGTGCCCTCTCAAAGGTGTGTCTGCTGAACCTCTGCTGATACTCTCTTTGCGGCAAGTCATCTGACTCGCTCCTCCAGAGACTCAGCCTTCTGCCCGCCGCCTGGAACCCTGGGTCAGTACCTCTTGAATGGCCACTTGGACATTTCTGCCCATGGACAAGAAAAGGAGGGAGTCTGAATTCTTACCAAGCTCCTCAGGCCATTCTGATGCTCATCAAAGTGTGGGAAAGCCCAGTGGCTCACACCTGTAATCCCAGCACTTTGGGAGACTGAGGCGAGTGGATCACCCGAGGTCAGGAGTTTGAGACCAGCCTGACCAACATGGAGAAACCCTGTCTCTACTAAAAATACAAAATTAGCCAGGCATGGTGGTGCATGCCTGTAATCCC